GAAAAGTCATGAAAATGGGTCCAGATTTTCGGAGAATTTGTGGAATTTTAGGGGTGTTCAACTTTTTGGCGGGAAATTCATGCATGTTCCCCGTTGTTAATTTGGGCTAAAATCGAGGTTTTCCGAGGGGTGGTGGTTTGATAGGGGTTGGTGTAATATAAGAATTTTGCTGTTTAGGTGGTACTGATCCTGTAGTAATATTTAGTAGAGATTATTTTGATTTTGGTATTGATTCTATTTTATTTGTATGAGTGTCACTTCAATGGGAGGTTGATGGAGAATTAGTTGATGGTTATCTATTTTATTATATTTGATTTAATTAAAGTTTATGTAATAAGTATGTCTCATGAATGGAGGGTGATGGTATTGTTGTGGGTGGATGTTGAGGTTGGGGTTGCATGGGTGGGTGGTGGGTGGTGGGTTTGTTTGGCTGGTATACTTGATTTAATTTGTTTTGTTGTAGGTGTTAGTGGTATTGTCACTTTGATTGATGTGCTGTGGATATGGGTGTTGGTTTGTTGTTTATTTCATTATTATTTGAGTTGGGTGATTTGTGATTTGTGGTTGTACTATTGGTTGCTTTGTGGTGGAGTCTTGGAGTTGGAGGTGTGTTATTGTTTTGGAGTCTTGGAAAAATCCTTGGAAAAAATTGGGAAAAATAGGTCAGATTTTCGGAGAATTTTTTGGATTTTAGGGGTGTTCAACTTTTTTGGAGGGAAATTCATGCATGTTCCCCGTTGTTAATTTTGGCATTTTTGGGGGTTTTTCGAGAGGTGGTGGTTGGGTAGGGGTTGGTGTAATATAAGGATTTGGTTTTGCTTGGTTTACCTGTTGAGATCTTGCTGTATTTAGTAGATATTAATTTTGACTTATTTATGATTTGGTTATTTTGTACAATGTAATACAATAAAGGGTTATACTCTATGATAATTATATGAGATTTATGTATGATCTTTGTATATTGATTTTATTATAGTATATTAAATTTATCTTGTGTTGTTTGGATTGTGTAGGTCTTATTCAGTGGGTATACGAGTGTATGGGGGATGGTTGTACCGTGGAGGTGGTTTGTGAAGTTTTGGTTGGGTTTAGTAGAGATTGTATTGAATTGGTTACCTTATTGTTATGTGGGTGGTAATTATGGTAGGTTGTTGAAGGGGAGAGTGTGGTTGTATTGGTTTATTTTATTTGGTTTTGGTATAACACTTACGTAATTTATCTGGTGTTGTACTTGGTGATGGTGTGGTGTGATTTTAGTGGTTGATATTTTGGTTGATTATAGATTGTAGCTGGTTGGATTTGGGGTGATGTTATGGTGTCGTATTTACTGTATTTTGTTTGGTGAGCTGGTTGGTTATTTGGGTTACTTGTTTTGGGTGGGTTGATATATATGTTGGATGTGGATTGTGGAAAATGTTCAAAAAAATGGGTCCGAAATTTCGGAGAAAATTTGGGATTTTAGGGGCGTTCAACTTTTTGGGCGGAAATTCATGCATGTTCCCCGTTGTTAATTTTGCCTAAAATCGGGGTTTTCAGGGGGTGGTGGTTCGATAGGGGTTGGTGTAATATAAGGAATTAGGACTTGTTGTGTTTTGGTGTATTTTATAGATTTATGTATAGATTTATATTATGGTTATGATTTACTTATAAAGTATACGGCAAAGAATGTCATGAATGAGATAAATTTATTACTTTGGTATTTATTTTTATGTATTTGATTTTAATTAATTGTTGTATAATGGATATTTGTTCACTGGGTTTTGGTTGGGTTGTTTGGTTTGGGGTGGGTTGGGTGGTTGTGGGGTTGGTGTATTGATGCTATCCTGTTGGTATAATCTGGTTGTGGTGTAGTGTTATGGTTGTACAGGGATTTATGTAACGTGGATGTGAGTTTGGGGTGTGTTATGTGTTAGATGATTATTTGTGTTAATGATTGTTGAATTTGTTGAATTTGGGTGGTGTTTTAATTGTGAGTGTGGGTTGTGCATGGGTATGGGTATTGTTGGTTATTGCTATGTTATTGTTGTGTTGTGTTACTTTGAGGTTCTAGAAAATCTAATAAAATTGGTCAAAAATGGTCCGAATTTTCGGAGAATTTTGGGGATTTTAGGGGCGTTCAACTTTTTGGCTGGAAATTCATGCATGTTCCCCGTTGTTAATTTTGGGGTTTTTTGGGGGTTTTTCGAGAGGTGGTGGTTCGATAGGGGTTGGTGTAAAATAAGAAATTGTGGGATCCACTGATGTGATATTGAATTGTATTACTTTGCTTTTATTGGATTATTTGTTTATGATGTTTGCGTGGATTTTGTGGTGGTAAGGGTTGTGTAATATTTTGGATTTTGTTGATGGTTATGTGTAGCGGGTTTGTGGTACTTTTTGTACTTATTTTAATTTGTTAGATTATGCATTGATTATTTATATGATTGAATTTTATGATGATAAACTAAAACAAATGAAACGAAATGTAGATGATAATTATATGGAGATTATATGGATGGTTATATTTCTTTATTATTAGTATTTAATTAATAGTAATGTTGATTAGTGGTTTGTTTGTTGTATTGAAATGGGGTTGGTTGGGATTGGTTGGGGTTGGTTGGGATTGGTTGGTGTAGTTAGTTTACAGGTTGTTCTTGGTGGATTGAGTTTTGAGGAGGTTGGGGTATTGTGTTCTTGTTGTGGTTGGTTGTGTTTGGTATGTCGGTATGGATTTTGGTTGTGTTGTGTATGTTGGGGTGTTGTGTATTAGGTGGCGTTTAGTATGTTATTCTTGTTATGGGTTGATTGGGGTGGTGTGTATTGTTGGGATTTGTGGTGTAGGGGTGTTCAGAAAGTTCTGAAAAGTCATGAAAATGGGTCCAGATTTTCGGAGAATTTGTGGAATTTTAGGGGTGTTCAACTTTTTGGCGGGAAATTCATGCATGTTCCCCGTT